GTATAACATACTATTAAAAAAAAAATACCATCTCTTACAGTAACCCACTTATAACCTACTGTACAGCAGAGTGACATCCACGACTTACCCGCTTTTTTAAATACTATTATCAATATAAAAAAATTAACCCTCGTTTTTTTTAAATATTGATAGCTTTTAAAAAATACCAAATGATACATATACATAAGAACCAATCTCCCAAACCACATAATAATCACGTGTGAGTGGATAAAAAATAACACAATACTTGTGTCAAAATTTTTTTTTATTCACCACCACCTCCACACTAAACACACACACAACAAAATAAATAAAAATAAAAAATTGGCTAATTCCCTGCTAAAACCGACTATATAAAGAAGCAACTTTCCCAGTTTTTAAGACAAAATGGCAAATTAATTTTAAAATGTTATACCCAATCGATTCAAGTGGTTACATGTCCACTTGAATTTCAATAAATTTTAGTTTTAACATGTGATTACTTAATAACTGTTGACAATAAAGGGTTGGCTAGTGGCAGTAGGATAATATAACTATTACATTGATTTAAAAGTACCATGTATAATATACCTGTCAGGCCAAGTAGCGCTTTGCATGGAACACAACCTCAAGTAGAATATWGACGGTAGTACAAAGGTGGCCAGTATAACAGTTGAACATCCGATCAGAGCCACTAAGTTAGTGAAGTTGGGTACACTCTCACCCAAACCTATCATGACAAGTAATAGGCATACGCGGACGACGATACGTTGAAAACCGAAAGCTGGAAATAAAATTTACATTTTGAATATGTGCACATGAGCGGTGTTAATAAGTCGTAAGTACAGATAAACTCAAACCTATATACAAACTAACTTATTGAAAATAACTATTAAATTGTATATAGGTCATAGGCATTATAGAATAATTCAACTTATCCAGTCAGGATATTATAACAATGGTACTTACTGCGCAGTGGTGTGTTAAGGAACGACTCCACTTGTTCAGACACTGGTTTAACCATGATGATGAATCCTAAAATTAAATGTCCCGCCATCAAAACAATCGCTGCGTACGATAGCCATGAATCACCAAGGGACATGAGAATGTTGGGATTAATTGTATGACCGTATACGATGTATCCTCCAACAACAATCGACCCAAACAGAATAGTTAAAACTGGAAAAAAAGGATAAATAATAAATAACCATACACGCATGCATGCACTGAACAGCATATAATTAATTAGTTATGTTTGTCACAAGAATTGAAGAATACATATARATAGGCAGGTATGWATGTCATACAGTTCTTCGGGAACTGATGTGAGGCACATAATTATGTTATTGTGACTTGTAAGTTGTAACTAGTAGCCATTACTGTATTATATAATTTTAATACAATTTTGTAATTAACAAGACAAAATAGTATAGATTTATGATCAGCAAAACAAAACTTAATAATACATATAAAAACTAAGTACAACTACTAACAAATCAAATTCCCTGTTTAAACGTCGATTATTTTCSCCTAAAAAATCTGTGATTTACTATTATTAAATAAACATTGCTATGACCTATGACTTTTACATAAAATATTGACTATATATACTATTTTATCAAAGAAACAATAAATAAAGATGGTTATATAATTATATTTAGAAAACAGATATTATTTTAGAAATGAATGTAGTCTTGTACAAAAAAATAAAATAAATTCCTATCCAATTTAATCGTAGCAGAACAGTTTATCAAACTTACAATAACCGATAAGTTCCATTTCCAGAACTTTCCTTAATAAATGTTCATGAGTAGGTACGTACCTACCCGGAAATCGTTTGCAAATACCCGTGTCAAGTCTACTAATTGCGCCCATTTGCTACACCAATAATACGACATAATTTTTTAATAATAAAACAAGCACCAATATACTCACTGATAAATGAAGTTACCACGCTGCGTGAAAACTCGTCCTGTTTAAACATTTGAAAATGTATAACTGGGAATGATGCAGCTCCACCATAWGAAAAAAGTATTGAACCAAAGGACAGGAAAAATTGATTGGCTGACATAATTGTTTGTGTGTCAGGCGCCGAGCCTTCTTTGATACGTTCATCGAGTAACATTTGCATTAAGATGAAGTAACAGGACGTCATCGTCGTGAGCAACGCACCGACAGCCACTATACTGTTCATGACAAAAATAAATATTGTACGTTCAACAATCACAATTTTTATATTTTAACATTCATCATAGAATTTATAAAATATTCGGGTACATTATAACTGTCATAATATGTAATAATGCTTTTAATATCACATATATTTCTGATATATTGGTACTTAATTAAAGGTGAGYAAGTTAGTAACCACAKTTTAGTTTTAAGTTATTTTAATGCCCAAAACTTTAAAGTTAAATGTAACAAATAATAATAATAATAATATATTTAACTCTACAATTTAGAGTTATTAT